CCAAGTAGGTTCCTCGCACTAGATAGTGATCGGTGGGAACCTACATCTGCTCCTCTTCGTGACCTGTGACCTGTGACGTGATCTTGTGTTCAGTAGACTGCGTCTACACTTTCTCCACATTGAGATGAAGTCGATGTGATCTTTAGTGTAGTGTGTCCATCTGGTGAATGGTGAAATCGAATCGATGTTGCTGCCCTGTGAATATTCTTGTGTTTGTTTGTACACACTGCCTGACTCCAATCAGCAAATCGTTGAATGCGCAGAAGTCTGCAAACAGTTCTCCATTCTCATTCATCATTTCACCGAGTGACTCTCGACCAATGATGACTTCTCTTCTCGTGTTGTCCGCTCCTAGTTTGTTATTCATGTCACCCATTAGGATTTTGATGTTGCCAACTGGGCTCAGGCCTTGTCCACTCATTGCTGATCGCAGTTGTCTGTAGAATTCTCCCTTCTTCTTCCAACCTTTATTATCTGTAGGTACATAGCATTGTATGATTTTGACTTTCCTTCCTTTCGAGTTGAATCCATCTTGCTGTCATGATGCTGATGCTGCAGGCGTAGATTGGTTCCCACTGCATGAGAGCCCTCAATGCTGTTGGGGATATCACGATAGCCACTCGAAAACTCAGTGTGCTGGTTCGTGGCTGTCGTCTGGGTGACAATATTGGAGTTGGTTAGATCATTGACTCTCTAGTTGACAGTTTGGAGTGTCCACTTCCATTCAATCAGCATATTCCTCGCAGATTCCAGCCGTCCGGCTTCAAACATCCCGCTGACATTCCATATGCCCATGCTTACTTTGGCTTTCATCGAGAGAAGACACATAGGCCGACTGGCTTCCCGAAGGCTTTCACCAACCGGCGTCATTTCGTCTCTCCGATTCCAGTGAGGAATAAGTTTAATTTTATGTTTTACATTTTCTTTGTGCTTTGAAGTTTGTTTAGTGATTCTATTGGTTTTACGGTGTAGGGTTGTTAGCTCCATATCCGGGCTTAGTACCGGCTAGTATCTAGTATACTAGTTACCTAGGCGAGGTTATTTAGGTCACTCTTATGAGGACAGCAAATCCCACAGATCCCACATTCGTTATAGCAACTGATATTTTCAAATAATACATTTCGAAGAAATAATTCCGGTCAAATTTGAAGATGATGATGAATTATCATTGGTTGCGAGAAACGATTTCCCAAATAATGTTACAAATTAACTCAGACATTTATTGGGCTAGTCATATGAGTTGATTATGCTGGATTTTAATAAACGTGAATATTTATGCTTTACCAAACAAGAAGATGGACGATCATCTGAATACTTTTTGGCGTGAGGAAACAAAGTGAACTTCAGGTGAGATATATAGGGCCTTGATAAAATAAACCACTAACCTCCTCATGTATGAAAAGCTGCTCTTTTGACTGTCACATTATGACTGTATTTAAATGCATAGATAGAGAGATCATTTGATGATATTTATTGCTGAATAAAAAACACGGAAGTGTGTAATGACTTTCCTTCCATCTCATTACTTGTATTTACACTTGAGTGGTTATTAAAGGTTAACTTCCCTCAACAGTGGTCGTCAGGAATGCACAATTTCTTTATTATTTATAATAAGCCTTGTCTTTTTAGGGTAACCTCTACTTCTTCAGGACTTTCCTTTTATCATTCCGTAATCAGCGTCGTTTATTTCAAGGATGAAAGAGAAGAAGGTCATAAATGCTTTTATAGCACAATTGAAAGTCTGATTGTTATTTGTAGTTTGTGACTTACCAGACAATAAAGTCTGCTTTCTTAATGTTCCTCATATATGCTTAGTTTGCTAACGGTGAGTTAGTTTACCGACAGTTTCTTTCTTCCAGGTTGTTACGTAGCTGTTATAGGGCTGGGTGCTGAAAATACGTGTATCACAAAAATCGACCTAAGTGGTCACTGATTAAGTCCAGTAAAGCCTCCACACACCTAACAAACAGCAAGTACATGCTATGAAAGTTTTCATTTCAAGTCTATAGAGCTCTTCAGAATGTCGACAGATGTTTGACCACTGATGATACTAAAGTATGTTTCATGCTAAAGTCCAATAAAGAATTTTTTGGAATAAATCCATGACTTGATGTCACAATAAACCTGTGATAATTGCAATAGTTTCAGGATGTGTAGGTCTCTTCAGCATCAACCGTCAACGTCACATAATTGAAGGCGAATAAAATGCAGCGAAGAAAAAACACACGATAACCTCGATAGTGAAAATCCTGTTTTTTCATTATTCTCTAAATAACAATAGACATTAATGATCAGGGATATTATGACTTAAATCAATTCAACTTGTGCAAATGCAATCATTCTTCACTGGGTTCGATATTTACAAGATCTTACCGTCTCAATCCTATCTCTTATTTTCTTTATCTGCCCACTATTCCAAAGTTTGTTTTCTTGGCTGTGTTGCGTTCTTCGATCTGGGCGGTTTAATTGTGAAGCCTTCATTATCTTTCTAGATCGTCCACCTGGGCTACAAATATTATCTACCATTTCAAACTTTATTCTTGTAGTCTACCATCATACTCTCGAAAGTATGTGTGAACTCCTGCATTTTCAACCCGAAATTCATGTCAAGTAGTCCATTAACCAACGTTTATCACACTTCAAATTTGCTTTTGTTTTACTAGAAAAGTGATGAAATGGAACTTAGGAACGTTGACTAAAATGAAACAGTAGAATCAAATTTGAGGGAATTCCTTCAAGTTTTAATTCAACCTCTTATACCGCTGAAACACCGGATCCTAACAAGCTGACTCAATTGTTGATACAGTTGGATCCACAATTCATCCAAAATGACCTGTATATTGCTTTCTACTAAATCTTGATATTCATCTGATAGCAGCGAACAGAGAAATTTCTATCTCGTTTCCCGTTATATGGAGCCTCTTCAGTTCGTTGTACTTGCATCTCAGTGTGCTGCCATTCCCACCTACAATCAAATCCAGTAGTTGTTGCTTCGAAAATCAAGCTACCAAGGCATTTCAACTACCTTTTTTTTAACTGTATAAGTTGGGTATGAATTTCCAGTGATTTTCAAAACTGACTTGTATGTACATAAACTGAAGAAAACCAGCCTGGATGAAAACCTATGCCTCATTCCATGAATAACCATGGGGGAAATGACAACAGTGGTTACTTCTATACATTCGAAAATTTGAACTTCTGAGAAGCCTAAGAACAACAAAAATCACCAATGGTATGTATGGTTTCCGTTTTTTTATAAATGGTGCCTTAGCATACTGAATACCACTTTGAAACTAACTAACTTCATTAAGTCTGGCAAATAAAAATAACATTTGTGTTGTACTTCTGAAATTCAGCTTAAATTTATTTGCTACAGTTGGATTACGCAAGCATACAAATGAAACTTACCAAACTTTACTGTCTTTAAGACATATCTGTATTTACAAATGGATTTGTCTAAGCCAGTACATCCCCCCTAACCATAAAAGTTAAACAAGCATATACATAAAGTCGAAGGTATACCAGATGTATTATTTCTTACGAAGTATACTACTTGGCGTACTACAACAGAAAAAAATGTCCTACTTATGTACTGTCACCATAGTTTTTGTGAAATTAGCTGAATATAAATGCATATTTAGCTTAGACGTTGATTCATTTTGAAAGTCATTTCCATATGAAACCTATAGTAGCCAAATGGTCATTACCAATCAAAGAGTAATATCTAATAGTTTTGTTTCATGATAAACGGTCAGTATGTTCTTTTGTCAGGTTGAAACTAAAAATCTAAAACTTCCCTAATAATATTACAATTTTGAATCAGGGATTATACGACATCTGACATGTACAGCCTAAGAAATTGAATACTGTGTTCCGATGTCGGGAAAATCCAGTTTCTCGTACCATATAATTTTCGTAACAGAAAACGAAGAGCTATATAATCCTGTATGTATGCTGAACTTAAGCAAGTGGCATTTGTTTCTGTCAAAGGCGCTATCTAACAGAGCGAAATATTATTCGACTTATTCTTAAACTGATGAGGAAATAATGAAAGAAGGACGTTGTAGGAATAAATGGTTTACGACTGAAGTGGAATCACTGGGTTACAAATGCCAGTGTTTTACTAGCTCAGTTTAGATAATTGACGGTCTTTCGAATTCAAAGTCTTCCTCATTCAAAAACACCAGCTCACCAAACCGTACCTATCTCATACAGTCTCGTAAATAATCAACCTTACCTCCCCTGCTCTTATTCAGCTACTTTAAATTTGGAATGAGAACACCTGGCCAGTCGGCTGAGATGATTATGATAAACAGACAGTTACTTATCATGTATCCATATCATGAATGATATGAAAGATGAGCGAAATCCTCAGTGATTAAAGTTAATTTAAGTCTTGGTCAGCAGACATGTCCAGTAGCTTAGCTGTTAACCCGTTGTTGCTTTTGATCCTACTATGATTTAAGTTTTCATTTCATTTGTAACCATCATCCAATACCTTGCTAGGTTTTACATCGATTTATTATTTTGTGAAATTAAAAAGTCCACTTTGATGACTTTTACGTCTAGACGGCATTTTCTGGTTGATATCGAAAGTCACTTAAATAAGAGTATAAACAAGATATACACCTAATAAATAAATAAATAAATAAAATAATGGTTGACATAAATTTTCATTTAGAATTGATCAGGAGTAAACTTCACCAGGCATATCCAATTATTGGACATCCTTCTGAGGTCAAGGGATCCGCTGGATTCTGTCGTTCAGTAAGCGAACAAACAAAATTGCAGCGGTGTGTTAGGTGCCAGGCAAAATACAAATACGTATTTAATCTTATGTGAAATAATATGAGAACGAAAGCCACTGGTTATTTGAAATTATTGCAAGGAAATATTCAAAAGTTAGATAGCATTCGATATTCAATAAAATGTACAGCTGCTACATGTTTACATCGAGTGAATAAATTTCATATAATCTGCTCCTAGCAATAGATACTTACTGAACTTGTCTGTTCCATTATTTCAGATGTTGTGACTGTACTACCAAATAAACAGTAGCGTGGCATTTTTACACCAACGACACCAGCAACAGCTGGACCAGTATGAAGACCTGAATAATAATATAAAAAATTCAACGACTTTTGTTAATTTAAAGATAAACAAAAGTAATTGCTTCATTTAAGTTTTATTAATACATGAATGTATGTTTCCTAATTATCCCATTTGACTGTATCGAGGAATCCTAATGTAACATGATGGTTGAGATTGAAAGAAAGCCAGTTTGTAGAAGAAATGAAACCTGTAAGTCGTTATTTTCAGCTGAAGGATGCTCAATTACAATGACTGATTTCAGTGACAAATATGGTTTTGATCTCATGTAAATCTTGTTGCATAGTTTGTGAAACTGGACATATTTTGGCTAAAATAAGTTATCAGACTTCACTATTCAACTGGCAAAATAGATTTTCTTAAGTCAGATTAGTGGTTTTGTGCCTAATTTGGGTGACTCTAAAACCAATCTTTGTCATTTGACATGGTGATTTCTACGAAATGAGATGAAATTTAATTTTGTCAGAAATGTCAATGTCAATCTAATGGTTATTATCAAAGCAACTTTATGAAGTGAACTTCCTAATTCTGAGCTTAAACTGCTTACCACAATAGTTCCAGTGCTTTTTGAATACTAATACACTTTTTCTGACTTATTCAGTTTACTCAAAGCTTAATTTTTCAAACATCAGAAATCACAGCTCAAGTAAGTCCAAATGACTCATAAAACTGATAAAAATGACAACAAACGCACCCTAATAACTTCCAGTAAACTGGTGGTATGAATCACTCCAGCTTTGAATGAGTAAGAATATCAATATCTAAACATATTTCATGATGAAAAACTCCCTTCAGTATATTTAAGTGAATGAATATTTTTGTAAAAGTAAGGAGTAAGGAGTCAGTTTGAACTCAAGTTTCTTCAAGGATGAAAATTTAACTCCTTAGGGAATAAGAACAAACATGAAACTTAAGTCACTGACTACTTGTTGACTATGTCTCGTAAAAATTGCAATGTACTTCCTTTTCATGTCCCTTAGCTAAAACGTTAGACTGCGAATTTCAATCAGACCTAAAGACTTGATATCTACATCGTTTACCATCTGGAGACCAGATTGTGTAGTACGGAATTCACATGAATCCTAAAAGAAGTATTTTTCCATTTACTAATGAGTGGTGCATCAAAACGTTTTTTGTATTTGTGATCCCATTATAGGTTTGAGAGAATTGAGAAGTAAACCGCTAGCTAATTAACCCTTAAATGAATGGGAAAAAGAAAAAGAAACGCACATGGTAACCATGAGAGAAAGTACAGTAGTATAGATTAATTTGTCACAAATTATTCACATACATTATAGTTGCATCTTGGATACGAGATGTGTTTTCACACAGACGGTATTCAACAAGTGGTGGTCTTTTGTATGATGACAGGATATTTTATCTCACCAGTCAACACAGTCTCACAATACCAACATATAGATTCCGCTACCTACTTGTATATGCAGCAACCATCAATATCATTTGAAGGGTCATGTGGGTACCGCCGTACTTCTTAAGTTCTATGTAAGGAAGTCTGTCTCTTATTACAGAACATTTTATTCTTAAGCTAGATACCAAAAGACCTAGATAAAAAGCTCACTAAAGTATGCTTTGTTTCGGAAAGCAGTCAGTCCTTGTAAAAAGAAAAGCTTTCATCTTTTAGCATTCAGAATAAAATCTAATCAATGGTAACTGCCTAGAGTACAATGTAGGGACCTTAAACTGGAGTTACTTTGCAATTACTAGCAAAGATGAGAAAACATTAAAAGTTTTCTGCAGTCTTGATTCGTTTTTTGTCTGTCTACTTATTCATTTTAACATAATATTTTCCACCGGATGCTTTTATTCAGAGGACTAAACGCTGTGCATCTCCTTTCTGGTCGAAGTTGTCTGGATGTCAAACTCCGTCACCACTTTAGACCGTTACATATATATAAGGGGTTACGAAGCGTGTACGTCAGCTGGGCATTCTAAAAAGATCGCCAGTATTTTTAAAATATGATATTTTGCACTGACGAGATTTGAAACACTGGTTGATATGCATTAGTTTGTCTTTAAAAGACAGGGTGAATTTTCCAAGTGTTATAAGAATTAATCACTTTTAGAGATGAACAAAAACGATCCCACATTGGGACAAAATGCAATCTATGTCATTAAGTCAAATTTCTCCACTCATCCCGTATACACATCCATAAATTTGCCGTTTCATGTATTTAGTTTACTTTTATCGACAGTGTGAATTAATTAGTGGGAAACAAAACCATTCATCGTTGTTTTCTTTTCTACCTGTGTGGATAGATTTTTGCTTCATGTTGACCTTATCCACTTATTAAATGTCTATCAAACTACATTTTCCCAGTCATTCAATTATATCTACATTGTAACTGTAACGGTTTAGTTCGTTTGCCAAAAAATGTACTATTATCATGAATATTATGACCTACATAGGTGCTTTCCCACTCCGAGTTGGTATTATTTTTATTTTCAATCCAAGTCACTGTAAATTTGAATTTTATGTGAAAAATTTATTTAAGTCTAAAATCCTTTCCGGCATGAACAGAGAAGAAATAGGATGATTCCAACAGTGTTGGAGATGAGAATATAAACCTAAGTTAATAGTATTTATTGAAATCAGAAGAAAATTTTTATTTATTAGAAACTTGTTAGTTAGATGCAAATGTATTCATACTGGTAGCTTAACTGAAGTTCAAACCTAAGTTTGACAACTAAAAGTATTAGATTGTTACATTACGAGTTAATAAGATTTATCATTCACATACTTTAAGGATTTCATTGCTCACTAAAATCGAACCTATTTATTATGTAGACAATGATACTCGGCTGGTAAGGCCGGTCACTTTTTGAGTTCCTATTAAAAGCCAGGGAATTTTTAAGTCATAAGCATTGTCTTTCCTGTGTGGTTGAAATTCAATGAGTGATCACCGAGCTTCTACATAATCAGAAGCATTTATATATTGCAATTCTAAATTCTGACACCGAAAGAAAAGCATCATGGTAACACTCAGCTCAGTAATTGTACCACAGAAAGTGTCACATTAAGTTGATTCTGCTCGGAATATGACAGTACGACGTCCTTCATAGGGTACTTCTGGTTTTTACTGACTTTCAGTGAATATTGTGGAAAGTCCTATTACCAAATATCTAGATTACAAGCGTGATACAGAATCTATAATCTCTTTTACAGTAGTCAGTAGATAGCGGAATAAGAACCTGTTTGTAGTCACAAAAATCAGTTTGATTCAAGTCCACAAACCAACCCTTCTTGAGCAAATGGAAATAGTAGCTTCTTTGAAATTGCCCTGGCAACATTTTATTGTGCTATGACACCAATAATTAATTAATTTTATTCATTTTGGGGGTTTGTGAGGGTTTATCTGTTGATTTCCAGTTTTTATTTATCATGGACTGACACCAGCTGGAGAAACATTGGAAACCTTGGAGCACTGGATATCTGTTTCGTCCTAGTTTGGAACTCTTCGGCAGTGCGCACCCAACTTGTTCTGTTAAGTGAATAGATTTATCACTAGTTTCATCCTTTATTCGGTTGTTATTCGTGACTACAAAACTGAACTTCATTCACTCCATGGAATTCTTTTTCTGTTTTCATTTCCTGTCTTAACTTTTCCACCTATACACTTGACACTAATCAAAACCTTTACGTTGCTTACCCATTATATTTTCATAAATTACCTCATGGTATGTATGACAAGAATGTAGAGTATTTAGACGACAGATTCTACTGAGATCTTATGAATACATTTAATCCTGCCTTCCGTACTTTTGTTGCCTGTTTTGAATCTCCCAGGTTCGAAATATGCCTCGCTAACGAAGACCAACAAACAAATAATCTAGCTTTGTAACCTGTTACCTAAGACAGTACGCCTGGGATAGTTTAGAAATATATCTCAGTATCACTAAGATGTACTGTCACAAAAAAATTTATTGCCAACTCACGTATAAAAACTGAATTTTTTGAGTAGTCGAATGAAAATACCTGTGAAATTTAATACGGTGATATAATGAATTCACTATTCTTACTTACCTACACGAATACGTAGGCCTTCTGGTGGATCTTTAGATTCATCCTTAACATTCTGAACAGATTCAACCATATCAAGGGCCATTTCAGCGATGAATGGACCATGGTAATTTGTACGTGTTGGACACCCTGACGCTATCATGTAAGCGTCACCAATTGTCTCAACCTATAGGTAGATTAACAACAGAAATGTTCATTGAGAGAATATAGAAAATTTGTGGCTCAAAATGTGGACAGTAAGAGTTTACAGTTCTCTAAGCTTCAATCGATATTTGAAGACATTCCACCAAAAGATTTTGTAACACTATCAGCATTGTTGTACTTATGACCTCCCATAAATCATGAAAGGAAATACCATTTGGTTCCAATAAACATATAAGAAACAAAGTAATGTGAGAAAACCGCAATGCATGTAACAGACTACAGCTTCGAAAAAGTGGAGAATATTTATAGCTCTGGTGGATGGTCTTGGTTGTATTGTGTTCTCTAAGCTGGGTTGTTTAATGGTGAAGTGAGCTGTCAATATCTGTCCGTGAGTGATTTAGTAGCAAGCTTACTTCATTCTGAAGTTAGTGCTTATGATGCCATCTAGAAAGACGATGAAGGCTTTACGATTAAACAACCCAGCTCAGAGAACACAATACAACCAAGACTACAGCTTTAATTGTTTTACTTGGTATAATTTACCGATAACTCTTGAAACTGTAATCGAGATGTAGTGGGCGTTGCTGATAAGAATGGATGTAAGTAGTATATGTTGAGAGGGCGGTAGAAATCATAGGAAATTACCAGCAATGGGTAAGGATTCTGCCAAGAGAAACGCAAAAGACAAACCAGGTGTATGAAGAGCAAATCAATAGCGAAGCAGAAGAGGAAGTGAAGCACATTTTGCAAATGACTGTCCTAGTACAAGGTACAGCATATTTAACGACTACTATACCACTTGTTAACAATAAATATTCCTTCTTTCCTGCCTTCCAATTTCCCTTCAGAAATATTCTAATTACAGGATAAAAAGTGTTGCTAAAATATTTCCAGTCGAGTTCTAACCCATTGGTTCACTAGAGATTCATACGTCAAGAACTCTGATGATGTACTTATTGAATAAAACTTTTGCTCTTAGACACAACTGTAGAGCCTCTAATCGAAGAATAAATAGCTGTCCAGCAATTTTAAAGTCCTTGCGGTTTTTCAAATCATAACTTGAAAAACATGAAAATTTTGACCGTCATTCAGATTTACCTTAGTTTATCCTAAATTGAATTCATGACAGTTTTACCTCATTTTTATGGGCCTGAACTCAATGTCAATAATTCAATTTACTTTTGTTTTTATACTTATGGTTCAACTGTTTTAAATCTATTGGCTGGGAAATATTTCAAGAAAAGAGCTGATCTTTTTGTTAAATCCCATTTTTGCAAAGAATGTAATCGATTCGGTGTAAAAATAAACAATTGTATCTACATTACAATGACCGATTTTATAACTATTAAAGTACTTTGAACAACCAGGAGAATACGTAAACATTCTTTCTAATACCAATAGTGTCTTGTAAAATTAATTGTGTGTTCGTCTTAATTGTTATGATATTTTATCATTGTATAGAAGTCATACCATCTTAAACATTTTTCCCGCGATACTTTTGTGAACTTTGGCAAAGACACTGCCAGCTAAGTAGGCAGAGATTCTAACGTAACAGCCTACCTTTGAAACTAACCGTCATTAATTATTAGCCTTCTGCTACATCATTACTTTTCTGATTCGCTCTCAAAAGAGAAGTAGTGAAGTCTTTACTTAATTAGTAGAAATGTTTTTATTTTTAAGTAACTTTTAATGCCTGGCATTTTTCTAATTCACACCAGTTTCTCCAAAGATTGCAATCGACGTCCTACCACTTTGTGGATGGAATGTAGCTTTTGGTAAAAAATTCATGAATGTACTTTTTAGTCGATCATTCATCATCAATATGACATTTTCTTAAATGTCCTGAAACATTTGGTCTGGGTGCGCAGACTGGATAATCATCGTGAAATTCATTCTGATTTTAGTTAGAAGTTCATGATACTCAAAAGATGATTCACAATCTTTAAGTTCGATTCTAGAAATCCTGAGTAGCAACCACCTGTGTCCCAAACATACTTACCGCCATATAATATGATTTATCCTTCGAGAAGCTACATCTGGTTCCATTGAGCAGTTTAAATTACATTTAGCCTGATCCAATGTTATCAGTAGTCTCGTTTTTACAAAGCACCAGTCTAACAGTCAGGTCAGTAACTTATCAGAATATCAAGTATCTTTTCTCTCGGATAGACAGACTGCACTCAGAAGTGACTTCACATTCGATTACCAAGGATAAATGGTTGCAAATGTCAGTCACTGGGAATGAGATTAAACATATAATGCCTAAAATAATCGCTTAGAGAACAGGAATGTATCATATTTGGTATCAACAAAATTTATCGCCACCAACCACTGGGAAGCTTAAGAAAGCGCCTAAATAATTTTATGACAACCGCTGATTGTCAATACTTGTGATAAGGATCACTGTAACAGTCAAAATTTTTGTGAAAGTATAATTCTATATAGTTTCCATGAGTATGGTTTGCTACATCACTTGGTTTTAACATTAATAATTTTCATTTCAACGGATAAATTCTACTTAATGAGTTGCTTTAATATCACTCTAGTCACCATTTTTCTTTTCCATCCACCGCATTTTTTTCTAAACCAAATGCTGTACATTAGATAATGGTTTCAGTCTAATAACCTAAAGTTGTTCACAGTGAAATAGGCAGCAACTCAGACTTCATATCAGACTGGTTGTAATTATTATTCAAAGAAAGTATAAAATTATTGATTTCACGTTGGTTTTCATTATGAACCCACACCAGTTGGAGAAACAGCGGAACCCTAGAAGAATTAGAGAGCTATTTTATCCTGCTATGGAACTTCTCAGCAGTATGTTCCCATGATACTGTCAGGACAGGGATCAAACCCAGAACCTTTGAGTCCCTCTGCCATTGCGTTACCATTGAGCCATTCGGTCAGAATCCAATCTTTCTCCAGCTAAATTCAGTCCATGATGAATATCAACCTGAAATCAATAAACAAATCCCCAAAAAGCCTCAAAATGAAATGTAAAATTAGTTGACCAATGATTTTTATCATAAATGAATGATTAGCCTCAAAATTTACCAATGACGTAATTTTAACTTACTTTGTATACTTTGTGCTTTTCAGTAAGTGCATCGAATACTGAGTAGAGTTATTCAATAGGTTTACAACTTCCAGCGGAGCAAGACCACTGCAAATTGTTGTAAAGCCAACAACATCACTCAGTAATAGGGTAACGGTATCAAATGTCTGTGGAGAAAACAAATGACAGAACAGTCAAATGCAAGAATGGTAATCACAATGAAAATGAAAATTTTTTTCTTTCTCTTGGGTTCCCAGTGGAATAAAGGGATTCAGTAACACGTCTCGATTTCACTCTCTTCTCTCCACTCTTTTCAACCTGACTTCACCACTGCCCAACAGTTTTCCTTCTTCCTCAAACTATCTCCTCCATGTCACCATCACCTCGGACGCTCAAGTCGTCGTTTCCACTTCAGCTTCCATTCAATGGCCTGGACTGGCCAGACCTGGCGCATGATGTCCCCAAACCGTCTTCTCAGTGAATGCCCAGTCAAATCCATCTCAACTTCATTTTGCATATTTATTGGGTGATGGGTTCTTGATTGATTCGTTGCCAGTCAACCAACCAGCCAGCCAGCCAGAGTTCCTTCTTGCTAATTCTCATTATTCTGGCAATCCGATCTCATCTTCAGTATTGAGTGAGCGTTGATGACTGTCTGCAGTTTGTTGGAAATGCTGTTTGTGACCCCCCAAGTCTCTCAACCACCACATAGAGGCAGTTACTTGAATGAATTAGAGTTGAAAATCCCATCTTGTTCACGCTTTATGCTGAGTGCAGTGCAATGCAGATTCATGAAGGAAGGCCTGTCTGGTTGCCTTTCCGATCCTGACTTTGACGTCCTCATCTGTGCCTGTGCCCCCTGTAGTTGAAACGATACTGTCTTGCCTAGGTAGGTGAAAGAGTCTACTTCCTTCAGATTTCACCCGTTGATGGTGATTGGTGCTTCTCGTTGTTGATGTTGTTGTTGGTACGGTTTCTTCATCACCTCCATCTTCTCTACGTTCACTTGAAGTCCCGTTTTCACTGCCTCGCCATTTTGGCCAACTTGTCGGTTTCCACCTACAGATTATCGAGTTTGTGCGATACAAGATATTAGATATAAGTCATCATCTGCGAAATCCAAATATTCTAGGGTCTTTTCATCAGTCCAGCCAGCCAGCCTATATGCCCCTTCTCACGGCTCCTCATGGTTTCTTGCACGATCCAGTTGAATGAGCTTGATAACGGTTTGTGGCACTGAAACCGTGTAAAACAGTGTAAAAGCAGCTGCCTGCCAAATTACTTCTCGGTCGACGCTATCCAAGGCACTTTCGAAGTCGATGAAGTTGAGGTAGAGAGCTGACTATCATTCTACGCTCTGTTGTATGATGGTGCGTAGCGTAGCGTTGTAATGTGATCTGCAAATTATTTGTTCTTCCTGAAGCCGGCCAGCCAGCCAGCCAGCCAGCCTTTTCTTCGGCCGTAATTTTGAATTCACAGCATTTTCCTTTTAGTCTCTCCAGGATGATGCGGTTTGATATTCTGCTTGGTTTCGACGGCAGTGGAGCATGATTCCGCATCAGTTATTGCAATGACTTACGTCTCCCTTATTTTGTGGACGTTTGACGAGGTAGTCCTGCCTCCAATCAATGGGCAGGTACCTTTCCTTCCTTCCTTCGTGCCTTCCTTCCTTCTGCAGTAGTGGTGTCAGCATGTCCGCTGTTGTTGCTGTGTCTTTTGTTTTAATGCTTCTAGAGGAATTCCATTTGGTCCTGTTGCTTTCCCGGATTTCAGCAACTTTATCACGTCCAGAACTTGACCTCTGGTTTTGTCGGAGGGTCTGTGTTCACCGGTAATTCTGCGCTTGCCAGTTGCTGCTGGTGGTATTTCTGGACGAGTTGCAGATGGTGGTGATGGTGGTCGATTCAGGAGTTTTTTTGAAGTGGTCAGCTCATCGTTTTCTTTGTTTCTCCTTTTCGCGGTAACTAAGTTTCCTTCACTATCCTTCATTCATTTCACATGTGTTGGTCCCTTCCCTCCCAGGTGGTAAGGTGGTTATTTGATAGAATGTTGTCAGGTCTCTGTCTCTCCTACCTGGAACCTGTTCTGCTGCACTTGCAGGTGTGTCGTAGAAGTGTCTTCTGTCTTTGTGCGCACTCTTCTTCACTTCTTTGTCCAGTGAAGTGCTTTATACGTTGTACTCAGTTCCTCTCTTCGTTGTTCATCCTTGTACTAGTTTGTGTTCTGCGTCGCCAACCTCCTCTCCTCTACCATGTGTCCGTCGAGATCCATTCCCCATCTTCATTCTTCTTACTTCTTAATGCAATTATGTAGGTCTCCTTGCACATCTCTTTCAAGAAGTTCCACTGTTCTTCCACGCAGGTTTCTTCAGGAACACTGCTTAGTGTCTCACATTTCTTCCTGATGATTGACTGATGTGAAGATGTCCTTTGTAGTCTCGTCATTCATGTTTGCTTTCTGGGTGTTCAACTTCAACTCTGGTCTATCATCACCAGTCCCCTTGAGGGCTTTCAACTTGATTGATTTCCAAGTAGGTTCCTCGCACTAGATAGTGATCGGTGGGAACCTACATCTGCTCCTCTTCGTGACCTGTGACCTGTGACGTGATCTTGTGTTCAGTAGACTGCGTCTACACTTTCTCCACATTGAGATGAAGTCGATGTGATCTTTAGTGTAGTGTGTCCATCTGGTGAATGGTGAAATCGAATCGATGTTGCTGCCCTGTGAATATTCTTGTGTTTGTTTGTACACACTGCCTGACTCCAATCAGCAAATCGTTGAATGCGCAGAAGTCTGCAAACAGTTCTCCATTCTCATTCATCATTTCACCGAGTGACTCTCGACCAATGATGACTTCTCTTCTCGTGTTGTCCGCTCCTAGTTTGTTATTCATGTCACCCATTAGGATTTTGATGTTGCCAACTGGGCTCAGGCCTTGTCCACTCATTGCTGATCGCAGTTGTCTGTAGAATTCTCCCTTCTTCTTCCAACCTTTATTATCTGTAGGTACATAGCATTGTATGATTTTGACTTTCCTTCCTTTCGAGTTGAATCCATCTTGCTGTCATGATGCTGATGCTGCAGGCGTAGATTGGTTCCCACTGCATGAGAGCCCTCAATGCTGTTGGGGATATCACGATAGCCACTCGAAAACTCAGTGTGCTGGTTCGTGGCTGTCGTCTGGGTGACAATATTGGAGTTGGTTAGATCATTGACTCTCCAGTTGACAGTTTGGAGAGTCCACTTCCATTCAATCAGCATTTTCCTCGCAGATTCCTAGCACTTCTATACCATATCTTCTCATCTTTTTTGCAATCTGGGCAGCCAGCCAGCCAGCCGGTCGGCCGGTCTGCCGGCTCAAACATCCTGCTGACATTCCATATGCCCATGCTTACTTTGGCTTTCATCGAGAGAAGACACATAGGCCGACTGGCTTCCCGAAGGCTTTCACCAACCGGCGTCATTTCGTCTCTCCGATTCCAGTGAGGAATAAGTTTAATTTTATGTTTTACATTTTCTTTGTGCTTTGAAGTTTGTTTAGTGATTCTATTGGTTTTACGGTGTAGGGTTGGTAACCCTATGCCCAACCTTCATTCTTTATCCGGGCTTAGTACCGGCCAGCAGCTAGCGAGCTAGTAAAGTAGACAGGGTTGAAGGTGAAAATACCCACTGCCAATATTGCCATAGCTATTATCTAAAAGCTGCGTTGAAACGCGTCAGTTTACACAATAATGCACATCCCACGAATGAGTTGTGGTGCTAATGAGAAATAAAAAATTATTTCATTTCTATGATGAAGAGAGTATTGTTTTTTTCTTACTCATGGAAGAGCCTTATTGTGACGTTGTATTAGAAGAATACGAACTCATTACTTTTTGGTTACAAACCAAAAGTTCTATCTACCATTTTACTTAGTCATAGGAAGCAACTTGCGAATTACATTTCCAACCACCACCAAAGAGAAAATCGTGCGAATAGGGAGATGTCAGTTCAAACAGTCTGTCTACCGATGAAGGCTGATCAATCTGAAGCGGGACGATGTCTAAATTTATAAATTACTTCCAAACAAAAATTAAAATTGAGCCATCTAACCAGCCTTTAGACAGCAGTGCTACTAAACTGCTTGCTTCAAAAAGATATTTTATTCTCAAAGTTCTTACCAAGGAAACGAGCTAGAATAAATTTCAACTCATCTTCCTACTTGTTTCAGACTCTATTATGTCTTATCTAACCTAGCTCCTAACACTGACTGACTGGAATAGTATAGTTTTATTGACTTTGGTTAGTGTTTGAGAAATATCGTAGATGATGTGGAGTTTTCATTGAATATATTTAATTGACTGAGCTAGTTTTATTTCGTAATGTTTCAACCCACATAAAATTTTTGAGTTAGAAATGAACACTAATATTCATCGGTTGGCCTGCTACTAAATATTATATTGGTACTAATTACCTTCATCTGTCGCCTGCCTTGTTACTACGATCCTACTGTTTTCAAATATGAGGCCTAACAACTTGTTAGGGCTTTGTATACAAGGATATGAATAATATTCGGTTTATCGGAGGTAAGAGTAGCAGGTAGGTCTTCTTTTAAATTACATGACTATTAAAAATGCCTAGTCAAATAGGGAATTCAGTATGAACTTGAATCTACTTGGAATACTGTTCATTGATTCAGTTTGTAACAATGGATAGCTGTATGTGTATTTCGTGTTAATAAACTTGCGAAAAAGTATTTGCAAGAGTATAAAATAAAACCACTTGGAAAACCTGGAGTATAAAACAAAATTCAAAGGTGATTAATTGTTGTCTCGGTTGACCGTTCATTAGATAAGTGGCCAACAAAAAGTATAGTGTTCATCACTGTATTCTGTCTAAAGGAATCTTTTAAACAACATAGAGGGTTTTCAGATACATACGTTGTTCAGTAGTATACTGGATAGAAAAAACTTACAATTAGAGAGTAATATTTATGTTATTACGCAATGAAACCAGTGGTTTGTTTCATGCAGACGTGCATTCGTAAATAAGCGGTGACATTACACTTTAAGACCTAAAATAATATATACAGCAAGGCCCCTTTATCATTTAAAAAAAATAAGTACCATGACAAAGGATCTTACAGATTTTGTTATAGTATGGTCCAGACAAAAAATAAGAGGAGCCAAGTAGATTACAAATGGTTGACGGAATTCGATCAGCGCTTAGGACTAGACAACATTAAGTTAGTTACCCTTTAGTGACCAGTCAATGAAGCTAAAAAGGCTCTAGTTGTAAAAGAACCTCTTTTATCCCATCGTTAATTTTCTGGCTTGAAGATAGAAAAGTATGAACAATCCATTAGGGCTTAAATAAACTGTTTAGAAACAGTCAGAAGCATAGTTTGTTATAAAGTATTTTTGTATGCTTTATTGTCTGAAACCATGAAGTTCATTCGACAACAGTCAAGATTTCTTTGAAATATACTAATATCCTGTAAAATTGACTGAGTTCAAAGGGATTATAAACAAGGTAATAATAAAATATAGTGTTCGCTATCTACGAAGTGTTTATTTATACAACGATTCATTTCTAGTCTAAAAGTCAAAGTTATCAGTCAAACATCGAACTTCTTTGATTTTCAAATGTCTTTTAATATTTCCTGCATTTTTTTTGTTTATAATAATGCGCGTTAATCGTTAACTCATCCATTTCATGAACAGAAGTCCTAGTTACAGTGAAAGCGTTACTATTAGGCCATCTGATCGAAATGAGCATCACACTTTTGCATTTCAGTCAGTAAAAATTATATTATAATCATTATGTAGCGTGGAAACCTTCCCTGTTCCTACTGCAGATTAAATTAAACAATATTACTATCCGAAATACTGGTTTGTGAGGCCTTTACTACTTTATTTCAATCTTTTTCTTTAAACAGTTGCACTTAAAAGTGGATTGAATCAAATTAGCAGGTACCAGTCACTGATTTTTATTTAAAAGTTTAACTAGTGCTTGATAGCTTTCTTCATCCTTTTAGTTGATATTTAGTCCTGGTGAAAGTTAATCATAAAGCATTTCTAAATAAAGTACTGCTTCATTTTTAACACTAATATATCCGCTGAAATTTCTCTACATTTTCTGATCGTTTGAAACAGTTCTTCACCAAGGGGATTGTAACCTGGAAAAGCATCAATCTGACTGTTGCATTGCAAGTCCAGCAAAACTACGTAGTGGATGTAGCTCGAATTGAAGACAACAGGTTAAATTTCTCAAATTTTAATTCTTCTTCCAGTCGAAGGAACACGGTTTGAGGCCGAAAACAAAAAGGAGGAGTGACATAGCTGGTCTTTTTCTTACTAAAATTTAAAGTGTTTTAAGAAGCTATTCACCTTACTCCACCGATCTATAGGATTTAATACGTTCCAAAAGAAACGAACCGTGCTGTAAAGAAAGTGTCTCATGGAACAGTCTTTTGGTACCACGCAAGTCAAACCTACTAGTTAGGAATTAATAAACATGGTGATCAGCTGATTTCAAGTTTAGTTCACTTCCTTAATTTTGCTACTTCTGCTTCAGGGAGGGTTGACTTGAAACGTAATTTTTATTCCTAAAATGTATGTCCTTGACGACTACTCATAGGAAACGTACGTATAAACATATATTGCCGATCGATATTAAACATCATCTCAGAAAAAGCCAACGTCTATTAAACATTACGTTATCACAGACCACATACTTCACATGTATCCACAGCAGCTTCACCAGCTCTAAGTCTTTGAGCTACAGATCGAGGAATCATTTGATACAATAACTCATCTGTTCTCCTCATTTCTTCATCTAACCGTCTCAAACTTTCTTCCAATCGCTTACTTTTCTCGCTTTCCTATAAAATAAGAGAAATATGTAATAAGATGTATTATTGTTATGAAACGCAAGTCTAATAAGAAATTTATAGTTAACTCCATCTTCTGGATCCGTTTGATGTGTTTAGTTGTATATACCACCTGAAAATATGAAGATTATTGACATGGTTGTGTTGTAATTACTTACAGATATTCGTGTCAGGATTAACATTTTTTTCTCGTTTAGGTATTATGAACAGAATAATAATTAAAATTTTGAGACAGAATGAGTGCTCAGCGTTTAAAAAAAATTATGTTCATTGGTAAACTGTATTTTTCTGAGGGAGGGAGAGTACAGCTATCTTAACCTAACTTCACACAATAAAAGGGCCAATTAAATACAATTTTTCAGCAGTTTCATATTTTCTTATCGGCTATTATCGCGAAATATGTGCAATTACTTTGATTGTTAACTGATGATATAGGAAATATCACTTACAATCGCAGTATTACGAATGTACAGACACTGTCTAGAGGTATAGATAACTAGGAAGATAATAAAAACAAGTCACTTCAGAAGATGAGTATCAATAAGAATTGATATGAAATGCTGACAAAAACTAGGATCTTAAATATATAAACATATCAATGATTTCGCTGACATGATTTTTATGGAAACATTTTTTCAGTCTCTACACTATATAAGTTGTGGAGCTACTGGTAGCTGAGAACTTAAGGGCTATTTAGTCATATTTGAACATATTGTCCATTGTAATTCTTTACCTGTTTTCCTATCCAAATAAAAACCCATAAATCGTCTGAGTAAAGGATTCTTTTGTATCCACTTTAGTCTTTGACTAATTAACTTCTTAAGGCTCAAAAAATTGAACATAAATCCTTTCAGATGCCATACTTAAACTGTAGACTCACTTGGCAGGATCTTCAGTTGGTGAAATCAAAACCAAGTCTCACATTCTGCTTAAATTCTTATTTAATTCTACTTATCAGTGGCTTTTAAGAGTACTGAAGTGCGAAGTAAGTTGCATTACAAATATGTTTCACAGTCTCAAGTTATTTTCGTTGCCAACTATTTACAGACATTAGTAAAAGCAAAACCGAAAAGTTAAAGATCTGTTTTTAAATGTTTATTTGAGTATCGTAATTTGTAAGATAATAACTAGAAGAGAAGACAACAGCAACTTTATATCATAGTTCCTTGAATTCAAACCATTATGTTTGATGTTATCTAAAGTCAATCCAACTTATATTTTATTCCTCTGGACTTCTATGATCGATATTTGTCATCATGGCAATCGTCTTTTAACCTATCATCATTTTAAACACCTTAAACTCATCCAACTACTGTTACCTTGTGATGGCTGTGCAAATTATAATCGTAGAACTCTCAGGTATGTGTACATTGGTCGCCTTCACCAATCCTGAATATGGCTATTTGCAGGAGGTTTAAACTCATTCGAAAACTCTGCTAAATCACTAATGAGTTTTTATTTTAAGATTATATTCTAGTTTGTCAACTGCCAAAAGTTTTTTATTACTTCCACTCATTCATCACTTGAGTTTATTTCTGGTAGTTTCCCGGTTTGCTTCCCTATTTCTTCTAACTTTTTCTTACATTTCAAGTATTCACGACAACTGATCATAATGATTGGTCATAGGCCCTTACTTCTCTAAACCAGCTTTAGAAAGAGTTGGTAGTATATTTAGTATTACAGTAAAGCATTTAAATTGTGTGAGCAGAACATATTCGAAAAAGCGCAAATATTTCCAGAGTAAAGATGATACTAGTAAAACTATTTTATAGTACAGAAGAGAAAATAATAACCGGCCCCAATCACCCTTTAGGTTAGACCTCATTTTCACTGTTTTGTGTACTGGAGTGCAGTAAGGTTTGTTTAAATAAACCAGAAAGCAAACATCTGTCAGCTTAAAATCAAACAGCAGTAACGATTAACCTAAACTTGAGTTCTTTAAGACTAGATTAAGAAGTGGTGCATGAATAGCGAAACACTCAAGGATATTTCATCATTTGGTTGAAAAAAGAAGCTATCGAAATCAATCTCCCTACCCTTAGTGCCTTATAGCACTTTCAAATAGAATCGTTCACAACACAGGAAAGAAGTAGGTCAGGTAAGTCAGCTAGTGAAGTGTTACTAAAGGATAAAGTAGTCGTCTAGATCTTGATGGTTTGCAAGATTTGTTCTACAAATTTCAGTTTCATAACATTTCATAGGAAACCACTAAGTCCCAGGTTATTTTATGGTCACAAGCCAATGTGTGAACATTGATTTTGATCTGAATCTTCTGCAATTATATATGTATATAATAACTTGATTTTTTGTCGAGAAATATACATAAAGTACCTGTTGATTGCATTCCACTCATGCTACATGCTATTCAACAAAATATTTGAAAGTACCATGGATTTTTGGTGTGACCTAGTTATGATGACCTATGATGACCTATAACCCACTTACTAAGTGACAAAATATTACTCTTAAAAATACTTTACAATCTATCCGTCATAAACTGACTTCCATATTGGTTGCATAAATGTACAAACCACTTGTGAAGAGTAATGTGTAAATTGAATGAATAATCACTTAATACAATCATTTATTGAACCGAAGTTACCATCTCCTTGCGGACGCTTAGGTATGACTAGTAATCTGTTACATTAATAATGTAAAACATTGGCTAGTGGTGGAATGCAGGGCATGCAGCTCACCCTTTTGACAACATGTCTTTTGGTCCAAACGACAACGAGAAGTTAAAAGCTATGATATCGAATATAGCCGTTGCATAAGGTGCGGCATTCACGATTCAGTAGTCTAATGGGTGGGTTGTGAGCACAGTTCACGGCAGAAGCGGCATCGCTCTTCAGAGCTCAGGCACATTCAGCTAACCAGCTCTAAATAAGACAAAACCTGCCTCCCGGATTCAACTGCTAGCCGCTGTCCCTTGATACTTTTAATCACTAAACGTCATTTCACTCGCTAATATGTCTAACATCATTGATCAATAAAAACAGTTAGTCAGTTACGTTTGTTTTTCATGAGACTTTAAGTTTTCCTAGCTTGATAAAACTTGTTTTAAACCGGCTGTAGATTGTATTTATAATCTTTCAAAATGTGACCGGTAGTTGTATAAATGGTTCAAAATGTTCAACACAAAACTAATCACATCCAGATATACATTGTGTAAACAACTATCTCTTACTTGTTCCAATGCCAATTTCAATTCAGCAGATTGTTGCTCACCTGCCAACACCATATCACGACTAGAATCATGCATGCTTAAATCGTTTAGATACAAACCTATTTCCAACATAGAATCCACATCGCGCATTCTGTAGCATTGAAAAAGAAAAGAAAATACAAAAGAAAAACAAATGAAATGCATTTTAAGTAAATTTGCCAACAGATCAAGTAAATATACTGAACTCCACTGATTAATCAATAAGAATAGAAAGATTATGGTGTAAAATATCAGATTCATGAAACAGGTAGGTGATGAATGTGGTTTTTTGGAGTGATGCATAGTTATAAATTATTGTGGTCAGTAGACATAAGGTTCAACTCCTGCTGATGATAGGAATTTCCCTTACACAGATCTCGACTAAGTAGATAGGTTGACTAAATGTACTTTCTGAACTTCACAACTAATCCAGATTGTAATAGCTTGAAATACAGTTTCTTTAGCCACAGCACAGTTGAAGTGTAACGTAATTTGCATCATTTCCTGGCCAATATGCAGTAATTTTTCTTGTGAGCAGTTCAGTTTAGTCAAAAACTGTTTTCCTCCCAATTTACAAACTGTTGTTATGCAGCTTCACAGCCGAAGTTTTTGGTGAATTATTTGTCCTCAATGAAGCCAAAAAAGGCACTGTTTGAATCCTTTAAGCATCATTAACGTATTTAGAATTTTGTACAGGACGGTTACGAAAGTGTTAACAACTAAAACATTCTTATTAGTATCACCTGAACATTGAAAATAATAATAAATCATGCGATTAAACATCCAATTCATTTACTGAGTGATACTCTTTGATCAATGATATATCCTAGAAAGAAAAACGTTTGATGTTTAACGCTTAATTCGCTTATTCGGTATTTTCTTCATCTATTTTCAAAGTTATTCCTGCTGAAAAAAAGGTGCTGAATGCAGTTTCATCATATTTTTTGATTTCATCAGCGATGTCAAACGGGTCTTTAAAATATACTAAGAGTATTGAATATAACCATGGGTCATTTCCAGTTCTATTAGTACCAGTAATTACGAATACGGTTAAGCATATCTCACCGAAATAGCATCCGTAGACTGTCATACAAGTGGATTACAATATATTATGAGTACTCATCTAAAATTCTCAAAAGAACTTGTTGAACACTGCTAGTTAAGTACGATGTTTAGCACGTATTAGCTGTACTAATTTTAGATAAGCTACATGTTATCCCTTTATAGGTACGCTGAGGGGTGTATACTTTTGTATATCATTGAAGCAAAATGTTCTTTCACCTTTCACAATCTAAACAGTAACTTTTGTCATTTAGCGCTTCTTTGAAGTAATTTCTGACTTTGAATTAAGTGACAATTTTACTGGAATCTTCAAATGATATTCCATTGAAATTGATTCGTAAGCAAATCATTATTTTTGGCATAGATCAAGGTAATTGTCAGAAAATGTTTACCAGTGACATAAAATACTTTGGGGAGGACTATATCATTTATTAGACCCAAACCTACTAACTGTGTCAGCATACTAAGCATCTACAAGATATGAGTATTTCAGGTTTAATCTTGAAGAAATTAACTTGTGCACATCAAGTAGCAGTCCCGGATGACATTAACCTACACCAAAACTCAGTTCAAATTTTTTTTATTAATAACTTGAAATAAATTTAATTCATTTTCTTTGTGTACACCTTCAGTTAACTTATGTGTTCTTACCTAAGGCCATTAGCATCTTCATATAAACTGAATGTGAAGAACTTTTTAATAACTCTTCGCAGTTTGTAATAAGCACATCCATGTGAATATAAAAATTTTAATGCATAGAAAAGATAATTAAAAAGCTGCACCTTTCTTTTACATTTTCAACTAAGATGCCCGAAAAGTTAGAAAAATCCATAATATGTACATAAATGATTACTGTCTTTAGTATACTCGAACTCAGATTATGCACTTGGTTTTACTAATTGTTCTTCGCAGACATATATATATATATATATATATATATCATTATGGCAGTAGAGGATTGCATTACTAGACAAACCGTGCAGGGCAATAAACTGACCAAGTACAATATACTGACTGTTAAAATTACAAATATCTCTCCACCTAATAAAGTAAAAGAAACTACACATCATTTACTTTAGCTGAATTATTCATCGATGTTTTAACCACTTATAAGAAGACAAGATGGGTACTGACAGCACTTCAGATGACAATTCAATAATTCAGAGGTTTATTTTTTTCACTGGCATGACTTGGGAAACAGCAACTCATAACAAATTACATACACTCAGATTAATCACTTAATAAATTTCACCAGGGAAGAATAAAATATGTAAATATGATGAATTTCAAAGAGTGCACAACTAAGAGGAAGTGGCACTCCTAACAGTGCAATCGCTCGTTATCTCATTGACACTAGACATCAAGCGGAAGTCTTCAAGATAATAAACAAACAGGCTCAATTCTCCTGAATTTTGCTGGTTATACCCATCAAACACCGCAAACCTTATTTGTGTGTTCGGAAAGAAGCTGAAGTTAGCCTTTGTGTACCTTGGTCAGCCTTCTTGACTGTTATCTAACTATATCATCTTTCACTAACCTCAGATGTTCATCCCCTCACTCTTATCTGGTTGCACCATCTATAGTATATACTGAGTGTTTTTAATCAACTGACCTTAACTCACAATATTTTTCAGGTTCTATTTATTTATTTTGTGATCTACTTAATCCTAGAGTGCTTGTCTCTGTATTTGGACTACTAATTCTGACGTTATTTTGAATCAAGATGCTTCCATTATATTCTGCATAAAGTTGTAGCAATCTGTTACCATTTAGTAACCTTCCGTGGATTTGCTGTTATGACTGAACTTTATTCTATGACCACTAATGATTACCTGAACTACTGTCTTTTATTCTGGTTTCTTTCGACGAATTAAGATTTGTTAAACTTTCAGTAAATCTAGGAATTTGGAAATTCTAGATTGTAAATAGTAGACAAGATACCACAGGAATCCGTTTTATCCTACTACCATTGTTCTTCTTGCTCTTTTCCAATTTATATGAGGGAATTCGTGTAAAAACTAACTAATTTGTTAGCACTTCTTTGTGCAAACATATGAAGACGGTTTAAATTTGTAATTACTTATTATTAGTCGTAGTAATAGTATTAGTAGTATTATTTCTACTGGTAAGTTAGAATACATAAAACGGAAATTTTTTACCTTAATTCAGACTAGATGGTACAGAATACTTTGTTGCTGTCAAACCTAATAATTCTATGCGTAATTAAGTGTTTTATTGAATGAATGAATAAATTGATACTTTATTTGCTTAATCTTAAGAAACGATGCACGAAGAACTAAAACAGTAAAACACTTCTGAGAAATAACAACTTGTAATTACTTCGCAGTTGCGTGTACGCATGTTGAGGTAAAACAGAAAAGACTTAAGTCAACTGTACAGTGAACAGAAAGAGAATCAAAGGCGCAGGGAGATATTCATTCCAGTGAGTAATAAAATCATTTATCTTTCCTGACCTAACCTTTAATTTGATGCTTCTACTTGATTTTTTCAATAATTTTCATCTACATTAGTACAGAAATCAACAGTATTATATTTCTATGAACTACTAGTCATTTTGAACTTTAGAAAAAGCACTGTGTTCTAAAAAACCGACGTGATTTAAAACACTTTTGTGTGTTGAAGGCAAATGAAAAAAAAGATCCTAGTGCATCGTAGAGATTACAAAATTGAATGAAAACAAAGAAACCGAAAACTGAAGTATTGGAGTATAAACAGTGCTGTAAATCGAACAAAATAATGGACATTATTTATTTATTTGTACATAAAGTGCAAAATAAATTTCCTTTAGAATGGAGTAAATCAGAAACTTCATTAATTTTTCTATGTATAAAGTTAAATCCTGTTACAAACACTTCATGTCCAGTAAGTGAGACAGAAACGAGAAACAGTTCTTAAACACAATAATACTTGTTACCAATTGCAAATGAAGATTCAGGTGTATACTAAAAGGTGAGCTTCACCAATATACTCAACATTAGTGACTTTTATCGTCAACACAACTCCACGATAAACGATACTCATTATATCACTCTACACAAGCGCATCTTTCTAACTCCACAATTAAAAGACGCAGTTGATGTATATTAAGATACATTCATGCCAGGAGCTAGTGTTTCTACTGGTCAACATTCCATTATGAATTCATCACAAAATTCAATGAGTGATTAGGACCATAAGTTCCGCCTCAAACATTTGAAGAGATTTTCTATAGGATAGTAAATGAAAATATGAACCTTGAGTTGTTGGACAAATTTAATTCTCTACTTTAAGGTCTTACTTAGAAGATAGTAGAATTAAAGCCCTGTTGGAGAAGTCGATCATAAGAGCGTTCACCAAGTAGCCACAATACTAATTTGTCTACAGATTTTCATCCTGTTCCACTCGGTGTTGTGCAGCAGTCCAATACTACCACTATCCTCGTAAACTTTGTGTTGTTTGAAGATAAGTAGCCTCACTTAAGTACCTACATAATAAACTGCATTGAGTATGCTTGAGGGGAAAAACAATTCACCATTTTCTTGTTGGTGATTTCCTATCTTTTGTAGTTCACAGAGAACCATAACAAATTCAATTCGAGAACTTAAAGAATGACTTGAAAAGTCAAAAAGTTCTCAATTTACAGAAACGTTTTCTAAGTATCTAGAAGTACAGTAAAAAAAATTGTCTGTAACACTGTCACTCCACTGACTGTAATCCTGGACAAGTTTAACCATCCAGTTTGAAGTGAATTATTGCCTCACACCTACTGATATACCATGCTTCACACTACTCATATTATAATTTACTACAGTAAATCAGCTTTCGTCTCTGATAACATTTACATCAAGTAAATAAAAACACCATTTGATATATATAATTGTTGTTTTATGAAGTACATTGTTATTTATTTTATTTCAAATCTTCTCTTCTTTTCAAAGCAGAAAATTTCAAGTACAGGAACAACGTTGTAGTAACAATCTTCAGTGAATACATTTGATGTTCAGGCTGACTGATTTGATTAGAATCATTCATACAATAAATACAATATCTCTGTTCAGACCACTTGTAGAATAATTTTAATGAAACACAGTAACCAACTTGTGAATAATGCAGTCAATAATTGTAACTTAAATTAGTTACTCAGTGAGGAATGAAGTCGATTCAGAATATCAGGCATCGTTACATATATGTTATAACTGGCTAATTAATAACTAACTTTTCGAATCTACAAACCAATCCTCTATATGCAGACGGAAATGATGGTTACTCTAGATTTGCCTTGATAACATTTCTGACGTACAGTGACTTCACTAATTACTTTGCTTTATTGCCTTTAATTAAATATCTTCATTATTAGTTAGTTATTTTTATCCTTTTTTTATTTTCTACTCTTTACAAACGCATTCCATTTAATGAATAGGTTGATTACTAGCATTCGTTCCTAATCCCATCATCAACTACTCTATTAGCGAAGAATTTACAAAACTCTAGTGCATCCAAGTTTTTGCTGTCCTTTTAAACACCAACTTCAGATAATTTCGACACTTAACATACATGGTTACAAAAAATGTTCTTACATTTACGTTGCTCCCCATTATCTTTAGTCACAAATGGCCAAAATTGAAAACGGTGCACTGGATAAACTAGACTATTATTGTCAGCATATGGATGATACTTTCATCATTTGTGAGAATGGCTACAATAAAAATGATTTTTTGAATACCTTCAATAATTTTTACCCAGCTATGGAGTTAACCTGCGAGGAAGAACAAGGGTATAGTATTCCTTTCCTAGATATCCTCCTCACCAGGAAAACGGATGGGTATATTCAAAGGAATATTTTTCGAAAGAACACATAGACTGGTCAATATATTCACTTTCATAGCTTCACACCGGTATATCTACATACTCATTTTCCCTGTTTACTGTTCCCTTAAGCATACTACCATACACCCTGGACACACGTTTATACGTTTTTGAGGTATTAATTAATTAGATTTTCATATGTAGACACTTATTCAAAGAGAAAGCCAAATCAGATTATAAACTAATCTCACTTGTCCTGATTACGTAAAACTGGAGTAAATATATATTCTTCTTGTTGATATATTATTAGGTTACCCTGATGTACACTTCGTTATACCGTTGTTTAGTTGCACTCAAAATAAACTTCACATTGCCACGAAAGACTTCATAGAACTTATGATAAACGAGATGATTGTTAGCAGCATCATATGCCTGAAAATGCCACAAACAACCTAACAAAGTGCCAGTGACAAATTTCTATAATCTAACTTTTTACTCTGGGAAGTGCTTATATTCTACTGAGAATCAGCCTAACTAGGTTAAATAACCCTACGCATTTTATCTTAAGTAAGCTACTTCCAACGAGTTGGATGTAAACTAAAAGGTTATTTTTCAATTCTCTCCAAGCATTAGTTAGCTTTAAAACTCTTTATCAGGTATTACGAACGAATATGATCTATTGTGTAGAAAGAATTCACATAAAAGCAATTTAACCGTGATGGAAAAAAACACTAACGCAACTTACTGCCTCATATACATATTAATGTCACTGTATATGAAGACTTCTGTATTTGTATTCACAGGTCAATAGAGGGAAAACAATTCCATTTTGTTCAGCCCTGAGTTATGACCGAGCACTATCAGTCATTTTTACAATGTTGACAGCAAGCTACGACGTTCAGTATTGAGGTGCGCTGTGATGGATGTTCCCTGGTTGGAGGCATTTGGCAGGAAGTCATGATAAACATTGGTGATGAGTGCCACCAATCACGAAACCTATAACCAGGGCTTCTTGCTAACTGCCTACAACCAACCAACTTCACTGTGTCTAAATATTATTCCTTCCTCTAAAACGACAACCTTTAACCCAAACGTCTGTGAACAAGAAGATTTGAAAAGTATACAAACCAGCCACCTGAAGGTGATAGACTTCTCCGGTGTTTCAGCTAGCTCAAACTTACCTAGCATGAAATTCAAAATGGTCATTTGACTTACGGATTGGATACTATGTGGTGCATCTGGTAATGAATTATTTAAATTAGTGAATTCAGAATGCTAAATATAGGTGTCATAATTATTTGTTACCAACTAGCTAGGCATAACACTAAAACTGAGACGTAAGCATCCTAGGGCTTGGTTTGACTGTGTATCACTTGAAGCTGATGCATTTCGTTTTCTTGCCTAAAGGTTAGAATCAATAAGAGTATAAACACTATAAAACCGAAAACTGACAGTAATTATTAAATGTATGCTATTACGATGAAGACCAAGTTAAGGGTTGGACGTAAAGACATTACTGCAGTAGGTTCTGTTACATATTACCCATAGTTTTAAAATATTGTTGAGTGCTGATTTTATTTTAATGAACTATCTCCTCTTACAGTTCGGGTGACATTATATGTAGAGCAGCAAATTTGTATCTGGTCAACAATTCTAAATGTGAATGACTTATAAGTATAAATGTTTTTCAAATGAACGACGAGAGAGAACAATAAATTTATTATCACTACTTCTCGATGATCATTATGAACCGTCTTACATGCAATTCGAAAAGTACATATGGATTAAACATGGCTGACAGAAAGATAAGTAAAGTAGAAAGAAGAGGGCTGACCAATGGCGTCCTACAGAGTACCACTATTTGGTAGAATAGACTTGTATTTATAATACACAATGTAGCAATGTAAAAGGGATACGGTAATATAAGAAATTTAGAGAAAGGAATGTTATTACAAAAGAAATAGTTCATTTTGAAGAACACTTTTTACAAGATACTGATAAATTTCAAAATCTCTGCACTTCAAATATAAACAGTTGTTCTACATTCATAAAAAAATTCGGCCTTTAGATACAAATATCTCCGCTTTGTACACAAATATATAAATGCAGTATAAAACAACTAAATTTAGTGTGGACTCGGAAAGCTTAAGAGGTATTGAAGTCATGATGAATGCAGTCACAGAATTAAAATGTTATAATTACCAAAATAGTGTTGAGTGATTGTTTTTGTATTAATGAGAACTTACTAAAGACCCATCATGAGTTTGTAAAAAATTACTTACTTTTTCGTATTTCACTCTTCTTCAGTTTTACTCTAAGCTTGGGAATCGCACAACCAAAACGTTTGTCAAACTTATCATTATCATAAAATATTGTGTTGACTGAAAGGCATACACCTTAATTAAACCACTCAGGAAGGTCATTATAATCTACTGGCCGTTATACTTTCTGATAAGAGCTATAGATACTTAAGGATCACGTAAATGCTGCATTTGTAATCTTTTGAACTATATCATGTTCTATTACTGACTACAGTATTTAAGAAAGATCAAAATATTAGATCAAGTAAATATGGTATGATAATGACAGTTACCTTATTTCATTAAACTCACTGAGCTGGAACTAATTTCAGTAGTTACAAGACAGCACAGCCAGCACCAAAGTTCTGAGGTTCTGATAACTGCTGTTCAGTCCAAGGATGAAGCAAAATAGGTGTATAGTGAGTTTAACTTATACCAGTTTCTCGAATAATATATATTTACGATAAAATCCATCTTTAAATTCATTGAAAGCAGATGACTGGTTGATGTGAGAAGGTAGTAATCAAACTAACGCTCTTACATACTATAGTCCTACAAGATGTCATTTACGGCCAGTATAGTCTATTGGTAAAGTCTCTGTTTTCAACAATGGGTGTCATTGTTCTGAGTCTTCGAGTTTGTAGATATGCCTTGACGATTATTGCTAACTAGCATGAAACCCAGATCAACTAGGGCTTCCTACCAGTTAATTGTTCAACATATAAATACATACGAAACTTACATTGGTGTTCCAAGAAACACTATTGCATCCCATTCAAACATGTATTTCATTTGACCTCGAAGTTTTAGCTTGCCTAGATTAGAATCTGTTTCCTCTGACCCATCAGTTCGCTCACCATTTATACCTGTAAGTGTCATAGAGATGCAATAAAATAAAATAAGTAATGCCTGAAAATTAGTTGACGGTAGTAAGATTATGTTAATTTGAATACTGAACATATGAATAGGTGAAAATTAATACAACATTGGGTCTTCTCAAGCTTAGCTCAAACGTTAAACAGTATTACTATATTTTTAGCCCTACTTTGTGATAAAATTGCGGAAATATGTTTCCTCCTCCTAGTGACACTCTTACTTCCCCTGCTAATGAAAAGAGTTATGTTGGTATTTCAGTAATTTATTTAGACAGTCAAGTAACGCTTAAACGTGTAATCACTTCAACCATATGATAACATTTATACTTAAATACAGCTTTCAGTAAATCAACTGACACGCGACTAGATTTCTTGACACACATGACCATTGGAAAGAAATCACATACCCCACATACAGCTTTGACTTTGCCTGAGGACGTTTTCGCCTTAAGTCAATGCAGTTCGACGAGGGAAATCAAATGAAATCAGTTTTCAGGACGAAAACTTTATCACTGCTTAACACTATTTGAATAACAAATGGGTAATCAAGAAAAAAGAACACAATGAGCATATCTGCTAGAAGCCTCCAAATACGCATAAGTGAAGCATTTTAAAAGAAGTCACTTTTGGTATCGAAATGCCATAATAAAGACTGTTTCAGCTTTTAACTGGTGACAATCTATTTCCTTAAAATATTTTATGATCTGCAATAGTCATGAAAATTTTGTGTTACAAGGCTAGATAAAAATGGAGGAAAAAGTGATATAAATGCAGCATAAAAATTAAAAATCTTTAGTAAACGTGCAATGCGTTTCAGGCAATGATACTTCTATTTTCACTCACCATTACTACCATCGTCGGAACAGTTTATAAAGCCATACCAGTAACTTTAAAAATCTACGGAAAATTGTTAATAATTAACGACTTCGTATAAATAATGAAGAAAATTCACTCCCGAGGCTGATGACCATGATGGCATTGGTCCGAGAGAATGTAGCATAACCAAGATCTCTAGTAGACATTTGCCCCGAATTCACCCAAAATTGAATCGTGAAACTTTTTGATCCTTAAGATTGGTAAACCCATGAAACCGTCAGCTTGCAACTTATTTTCTGATCGGTCTCAGTGTTTACTTGCTGAGAATACACACAAATCATATTCCTATGCCTATTAGATTGGTGAATTAGCTTTCAAATCGACAACTGTAAGAGTTAATGGTTAGCATTTAAATTTTATGACTTTTATTTGGCAAAAATTTATTACTAATTATAGGCACCTTCGTTGAATAGTATAAAGAAACCAGGATGAACTTCACATATGTTTTAGTTCCGCAGTAAATTGTATTGAGTTTTCATCACACCTGTTACTGTCACTACTATTTCTACCATTAGTGATCTGTATATACAACACCTGTTCTCGTTTCTTCGACTGAATTTTTCCCATATATATATATATATATATATATATATATATATATATATATATATATATATATATATATATATATATATATAGGATGATTCATCCGGCAGGCGCAAGTCTTTCGAGTCAATAAATCGTAATTGGACCTCTTGATTCAAAAACAAGAAATAAGAATCAGCATTGTCCAAGTGCTTTTAATTCCCACGTGCAACAATCCAACTATAAACGAAGCCTATTTGTCGGATCCTTATTATACTATATTCCAAATAATGTGGGCACTGTCTGACTGTTTATCGACCAGTCTTATTTGATTCAGAGAGCAACATTACTTTCCAAAAAATAGTAAACAATGCAGTTAGTGCGATATATAGCTCAAAAACGTGAGAAAATTAGTAGAAGTGCAAGGCATAGAACAAGATCAACATTACCCTTGTCTGGGTCTATGCTTGTTAGCTCAAATATGATGTTCGTATGCAGCATAACCTGTAAAATAGATAATTTAAAATATTCGAAATACACTACCAGTCGTATAATTAAGTAATATAATCAGAAAAGAATCAAATTATCGTCAAGACTAAATCAACCTATGATTAGTAATAATGGTTAGTAATGATGATTATTGAAGTGTCAGCTCTATAGAAAATCTCAAAAAATTAAAGTTTGTCGGAAGTTTCGCTGCAACATTTTATAGAATAATATAATAATAAGTGGATTAAGAAGATAAGGTCTACGTAATGGAGAACTAAGAAGTGACTGAAGTTGAAATCCAGATCAATAGGTGAAATAGTAGTAATCCTCCATAAAAGCACTTGCAAAATACTGCACTTTTAACTTGAAAAAAAATAATGACACAATATCCCTAGGTCATCCGAAAATGAATCGTATGACTATGTATTGCTACATGACTTGATTTCGAAATGGAGGAGATAGTATGTAGCTCATGTACATAGCTCTGGTGCTACCCCTTTTTTTAATCTAGATTTTATCTACAGGTCCAACTGAAACTTCATGATCAAACTTTTCAGTCTGAAAAACAAAACTCCACTCATGAAAACCATCATTTACTTCCAATGTGTGTCTGATCAAAGTTGCATAAACTGTTATGACGAGGAGTGAATACTTGTTCCCTCTGGTTCTACAGTGATTATGAAGCTGGATATTTACCACTATAATAATCATACGTAGCAAATAAGATCCAAAATCTTGCAAATACTCTAGCTGTTCTTCACTTGAAACCTTCAGTTAACTTCCATCGGTAAATTTTTATTGCATGACATGAATCAGTCGGTAGAGCATTAAACTATGTCTTTAATAAATGATCACCGGTTTTCAATGGTTGCCTAACTGACAGTTTCAAGACGTGCATTTTATTTTAACATAATAAATATGAACAACAAATTAACTGTCCAATTAGAAATGTTGAACAGAATGAGCAGCAAATGAATTATTTCATTAACGTTGGATTTTCACTTCACAGGGTTTTGGGATGATGGAAAAATATTTTGTCTACCAAGAATAATTCATCTGGATCCACTGAAGGTTATTGAATAATGGTAAAATTTGGAGACTTTGTTTTGACAGTATGAAGTTTATTTCAGGATGGTAATCACCATGAACTGACATCACCTGGAGAACCATCGAAAACCTGGGTGCATTGGACAGCCATTTCGTCCTGTCACGCGACTCCTCAGTAGAAAGCACACCAGAGATCGGACTCAAATCCCTAAGGTCTCGCGCAGAATGCGCTGACCATACAGCCACTGGGTGGCAGTTTATTGGTTTCTTAGTTCTCTACTTTTGTCAAATCGTGATATAGGGCTACTATTCACCAAGATCTTCAAATGCCATCCGCTTCACTTCCGACTGGTTGACTCCACAGGCCATGGCTTCTCATTAATTATTTGGGATATCCATCTTGGAAAATGTCATTTGTGAGCATAAGGCAGTAATTTTCATTTCGACTTTTATGCAGATTATTATTTATTTCAGAGTCATATTCATCGTCATATTCATATTGAATGTCTCTAGAAAAACACGAGCACATTTTGAGGTGTTCCGAGTGAAAAAGTGATGACGACTGAAAAAATGCTGTATGCCATGGAGCGATGCAGTCGATTTTCGTTCGAATTTAAAACTCCTCATTACCTTTGACTTCTTAAAATATAAAAAACAACAGTCCTTACATCTGTGTAGTCAAAATGAGTGGGAATCCAAACACCAGAAATTTTCAAATTCCTAGATAAAACACTAGTAATCATTGAATTGCATGGGTCAGGAATTTTTTCTTATTCCAAAGTCAGATGATCTTATTTCCTCACTAAGATGAATCAAACCATTAATTTGGTCAACATGAAAATTGTTTCTCATTTTAGAAAAGCATTGTCTCAATTGTGGAATAACTGTAACAACCCAGTAAATGGTCAGTAACGCATTCTCTAACTATCTGAATTCATTCATCCCTAATTAAAGTTGTACAAGATGTACTCTCTATTGTCAGTGAGTTTTGATTTTGTTTAAGATATTTAGGCGATATAAATCGTTTCGAATTTGGTAACCATGGTAACTATAATAACTTTTTGACTGAATCTAGATTATTACACCTCATTCATATAAGTCAAGGTAATGAATAAGAAGCAATAGAAGAGAGACAACGATAAAGAACTCATTGACACAAATAGTAGTAGTAGTATTGGTGGTTTTCATTGTTGTCGTTGTTGTTGTATCACCATCTAGTGAATATGTCTCCACAGTTTTAATCAATACATGATACATGATACATGTGACCTAGAAAAGAATTTGATTTGAAACCTTCTTTGTTTCGCAAAGTGATAATTTCCACTTCATTGGGTGTGGTTAAGCAACTGAATGTAGTTATAGATAATAATGGGTACATATTTCCTTATTCTTTAAGATTCTAATCTCTGTTCAATTCTTCATTATTTTATCACATTTACACATGCGCACACACATGTATACATGCATTCATGCATACACAGAGAAGAGAACAATAAGATATTTTATTGAAATGTAGATAATTCGTAGGTTAAATATTCATTTTTGATTTTTACTCATCTCCTATATTTTTACGAAAATGGTGAAGTAATTAACAAGGAAACCACAGTAAAAGTTAGATTACATTTAACATACAACTGGTTGGCAGTCACTGTTACGGTGCTCAGATTATATGAGAGTTTTGTGTCCGATATCATGATTTTTGTCACAGGTGGTGCAATTATCCATGGAAACTGATGTTTTAAGAAAGTTGAAAAATGATCACTTACTAACTGATGATCTCTATAAACTCATCAACCAACAAGTTCCACGATTTCACTTATATATGGTCAGCCAAATATCCACAAGACTGGTTTTCATCTTCGTACGACTTCAGACGTATTTCGATCTCCTTGGCATCCTATTTCAAGATGGACAGCTGAGATTTTGCAGCCCGTAGGATGGCGAATCGCCACTCACTTTCTGCGTGATATCTTCGGTGCTGATGACTTGATAAGAGTCTTGGATGTATCTTTTAAACGTATGATATCACTTAATGTCAAGTCGCTTTTTAACAGTGTTCCATCTAATGAAACTATCTCTTTCTTATGCAGTAATATGGGAGAAGACACGTTGATGATCTGAATAGGGAACTCTACTTATAGAAAGTGTTACTCAGATGTATATTTAACTTTCAATTTACATTTAAAGACGTGATTTATAGATAGAAAAATGGAGTTGCCATGGGATTCACACTAGGTTCACTAATATCAGAGTGAAGATTATGTGGCTAATCCATGAAATCAACGTTTCTAGGTTTTCAGCCGTACTACAAGTAAGTGGACGACACCTTTTTATACGTGATAACCAAGGCGCCTTTAACCACACTCTACAAGTATTCAGCAGCTGTCATCCAACAGTTGAATTCACTTTGGAGGCAAAAAACCGATCGAAGACCCACTTTTTTGATGTAGAGCTGACCGAAATAGTTGAATGAAAGCTAAGAACAGTTTACAAAAAACCAACGTGGAATAGCCAACTGATGAACTTTCATATATTAATCCTTTTAAGTAGCAGACGACATGTAATCGTATCACTTACCACTTGCGCTAGATGAATCTGCAGTCTAGATGTATTGGAAGAGAACATTTTTGTCTTAAGGAACATTCTGATTGAAAATGAATACTCATTGCACTTCAAAGATTGAAATATTAGGTCAAAACTTCGCTAAGTAAAAACCAATACCGCACGAAAAAAGATGCTTGATATGAACTTAAGTTTTAAAGGTGATTCTGCTGATCACATTTTAAAGAGGAGGATATCAAAACTCTCTAATAAGAAAATTCATTGTATCAGCAATGAGAATAGTATTCTCCTGTCACCCAATGTTTTTTAACAACTTCAAAGAAAAACTTTCGCATATGAGCACTTTTATGTGTGTGTATCAGTTCAACTGCTCATAAGAAGCTATCTAAGAGGTCGTTCGATGCGACAATTGTCTAGAAGGGTTCAGGAGCACCATCCCACGTAGCTACAAAGAGCTAACACATAAGTGATAAATGTCAGTTTCGTTAAGTTTCGCTGTGTCTTCTTTTGTTTTGTGTGCATTAGCACTTAAAAAACAAAAGAAGACACAGCGAAACTTAACGAAACTGGAAAATTCAGCTTTAAACAATCTACGAAAGGATAATAGTATAGTAATTGCTAAATCTGACAAAGGTAACTCAACAGTAGTTATGGACAAATCGGATTATCTTAAAAAAATGGATGAACATATCCAAACAGGGCCATATGAAGAGATTAAGAAACCTATAGATACTGTCATGAATAAAATTAAGAAATCTACAACAGATCTGATACGCCGACTGAAGCCATCTCTAGGTAAGTCCGAATGGTTTACTTTAATGCCAAAAACTAATAATCCTAGCAGAATTTACGGTACTATTAAGGTTCATAAAGCAGGTTATCCCATTAGGCCGATAGTTGACTTCCGAAACACACCAACATATGAGATATCAAAGTATTTAGCATCAGTATTACGTCCTGTTAGAGACCGTTCCAACTCTAGACTAGTAAATTCTTACGAGTTGAAACAAAAACTTAATGACCTGCACATAGAAGAGGATGAAAAAATGGTTAGTTTTGACGTAACAAGTCTTTATACTAAAATACCAATCAATATGGCACTGGAGGCAGTCAGAAATCAACTAGATACTGACTCACAACTTACTCAAAGAACCAAGGCATCGGTTGGTGAAATCATGTTAGGAGTGCAGTTATGCTTAACCTCGACAGTCTTCAAGTTTCAGGGAAAGATATACAGACAAACAGAAGGAGTAGCAATGGGATCACCAATATCCCCTATAGTAGCAGATATATTTATGGATAGTTGGGAAGATATGGCTTTACGAACATATAATCCGACACCTAAGATATGGTGGCGATATGTAGATGACACATTTACAGTGTTGAAATCGGAACATATCGACAGTTTCTTGACACACATAAACTCAGTAGTTAACGCAATCCAATTCACCTACGAAGTAGAAAATGAACAAGGAGAATTACCTATGTTGGATTGCAGAATAAAACGAAGGATAGATGGTGGTTTAGATACTACCGTCTACAGAAAACCAACACATTCTAACAGGTATCTAGACTTCAAGTCATCTCATCCAGTGTCAGTTAAAGCGGGTTTAGTCAAATGTCTAAATAACAGAGCTGAGAAACTCACTAGTCATTGTAAGGACTTAAATAAGGAATTGAAACACATAAAAGAAGCGTTAATAACTAATAATTATCCCCATCATTTTATTAAGAAATTCACACGGACGCATAAGAAGCAAAATAATAACACTAATACAAATACAAATAATAGTGACAACATAAGTAGAAAGGAAATCAGCACCTCTATTGTGATACCATACAAGGAAGGAACATCAGAAACCATACGTAGGATTCTCAACAAGGTTGGAATTAGGGTGGCATTTAAACCAACAAACTCACTTAGAGGTAAGCTGTGTCGGCTAAAAGATCCGATAGAACCAATTAAGCAAAATAATATAATCTACCAAATTCCATGTAATGACTGTGAAGTCAAATACATAGGTCAAACTAGCCGGTCGGGGTCAGTTAGATTAACAGAACATAGGAATTTAGCTAAACATAGAACGACAGACCCCAATAAGATCAATAACCTAGAAAAACACTCAGCCATTGCATTACATTCATTAACACACAACCACACAATAGGATGGGACAAAACCACTGTACTTAAGTCTAATATAGCTAGGTGGAGAGAGAGATTAATTACTGAATCTTTGTTCATCGAATCCACACCCAACACATGTAATAGGAATGACGCAACACCTATACCAGAGATATGGAAAACTTTACTACCAATCAAAAAACAAAAAAACAAAGAGAGATCAGGTGACAGGACTATAAAATCAGATGTCGAAAGAAGTGTGATTACATTGATATGATTATGAGCAATAATTTATGCTCGAAACGTAATCAAGTAAATAATACTGTATCACTGTGCGCTTTATATCAAATAAACAAATCTAATATGGAGAGAATGAAAGTGTTTAAAAGCGACTCCGTCGAAATACTTGTTCGTCTCTCATGTGCTGATAAGTATCTTTGAGACATATGCATCAGTACGTTTAAGTCAACTTTATGTATCCTGAACGAATTGACTTCATGTACTGCACTCATCATAATAAATTAGTAGTAAGCCCGCTGTGATGTTAACTTGAAGTAAAATTTGAATAATAGCCGAGTTTAAATCAGGGGCCTTCTTATATTTCAGCAGTCTATGCTGACTAAGAACTACAGAGGCCTTTAAAATTAAAATCAAAAATTCTCATATTTGTACAAGAACATAATTACATTAGAATTATTAGACTTTTAATGTGGAGTGATGATTTAAGGTGAATCAAAAACATTAATCACTGGTAGTTTCAAACTGAGCTACGAGCTCAGGTGGTAGAGCAAGAAGACGGTAACCTGAAGTCCGCCTATTCTGCGACGAACGAGGTTTTCATTTCGTCCTCAGTCACCACTACCTCAACAGTACGAATCTGAAAACCACAGCTATCTCACATGATTTCATTGGCCATAAAAGTTCTACTGAAACTTTTCTTATATTTAGGTATAGCGCCTCAAAGCCAAGAGTAGCGAAGCTCATTTGACGAAAGCTAGTATTATTTGTCCACTCAAGCTTTCATGCAACCAATCTCAAGTACTACTGATTTAATGAACATCATTTTGTGAAAATTGTTTGCCTTAGCATAACGTCTTCTGTCTTATTATTTAAAAACATTTTTCCGTAACATTGGATGAAAGAGTTGCGCAACACAATAGGTTCCATTTAATCACTGGTTGATACTTTATACAGAACTAGATAAAATAAAAATTAGCCACTTGCAATAAACTGACTTAAAGGTGGATTTTCTGAAGTTATTTTGAAGAGCCATCACGTCTACGACTAATCAAGTATTAGGACACGAACTGACTGATGAAATTGAATGACTTTCATGCAGTATTATAGTATATATACTATGGTTTACGAAATACACACTTTTTGATTCCAAGCAAGTGAATGAAAGAAAAGGTTCTGGCGATGGGTTGGATCCCACATGAAGTTATGAATATGTACTGTTGAGAAATTTTAAAGTTGGACTAAGTTGTCTAACATAATTACATTTCGAAAAGCAGTTTCGAATTAAATCTGTTGAAATTCAGTCTTCTTGGTGATAAGTAACTAAGCTATAACAAAATGCAAAAGTCCCAAAGCCGCACATACAAGAGACTTAAGATATGAAAAGTATAGAAACAGAATGAAATAGATCAAGAGAATTATTCACTTTGTTCCTTTGTGAATCACTTTTCACTTAGTACTAGGAATAAAGCAACTATCAAAGATACATGTGCAATAGGTCTCATATTCTTAACTACACCCAACAATCTGAAGGAATAAACAATCAACTTATTTGTAATGCTCTGTTTTAATCAACTCTCGTATTACCAAAGATGATACTCGGTCAAACTGCTTTTAAACAAGTAAATGCCAAGCAAACATTCACACGAGAAGCAAAATTTTGTTTTCAGTATTAGCATAAGAGAGAAATATGTTTTGGATATCGCTCATTACGAAGCAGAAATTCAGGGTATTACAACCTGTTTGGCTAGTATCTTTCGCTGTACTTCCAAGTAAAAGTTGCAGACATCTCTTAGTTTTAGAGAAAATACACTTTATTATTCTCAAATGGTAGGAAGAGAATTTGCCTCTATAGAGATAAACAATGTTCTACGCATAAACCGTTGGTTACTTCTAAAGACTGCATAATAAGACTTCTATGCTGCAGTGGAAAGTTGTCCAGAAGAACAATAAATGAAATGCTTAGGGTCTACTTACAGTCTTGCACATATTTACTATTTGTTCTTGAAGGTATTTCTCATCAGAATGTCGACTACATTTAAAAAGTAATAGATGCTTAATGTCTTATAGTGTATCTTGATCAAGCAGTTGATTACCCCAATAAACACAAAGCCTAAGTCCACAGTGTCCTGCTGGTCTAAACTTGACCTTTAACATTGCACAAATGATGAAGGAAACATTTAATTGTAGAATGGGATTTGGGACTAGTTTACAAGTTAGGATAGTAAATAATCAAATGGATTTAGTCAGAAGATATAAAGTTTTGACTCAAATCTTGACGAGAATTAGACATAAACGCCTACAAATCTATTATTTAATTGCTTTTTTACAGATTGACAGACAACATCACTTTGCATAGATCCTTTCTACTTGCTGTTGTTTTGAACCCTGTCATAACGCCAGATATTTTTATCGGGATACTATGAGCAAACATGTGAGTTTTACAATATATGTGAACTTTGATCAAAGGAAATACTTGACTAATAAACTGAACACCAAGGTGCACAAAAATAATCAATGAAGAAAGCCAAATTGACTTCGTAGCCCAGTTGGTAAAGCATCGGGCAGGAAATCCGGTGATCGTTGGTTTGAATCTGGTCGCGATCCAAATTAACATCTCACCTTCAATCATTACCCAGTATTTATTTAAATGAGACACTGAAAGTCAATGATCCTTTGACTCTCTAACACGCTTTATGTTGGCCACCTTAATTCTGCTCCACCCAGGATGCCAGGTCAGGATCAATCTATGCTTTAACTTTGCGATGGATGTAAGATGCAAGACCACAATTTTATCGGACATTTTTCTTTCATTACAAGCCTGCGTCTAATCCCAATGTCGCTCACGGTCTGGTTTAATCCTACTTCTGATGTACTGAGAAAACATCTATGGTCTGAAATGTTTTCTTCTATCTTAACAACTGACATCATTTATCATCCCAATTTCTCGGCAGGAAATTGCTCTGTTTCAGCCTCTCACAAAAACAATTTTAAGGATGAATATCACTAGGATGTTGTGAAGTAGGATAATGCAGATATTCGACGCGATAGGTTCAAATAACTTTCAGTAATGCATAAGTTCATAATGAAGGCAGTTTTCAAACAGTGAGTGACCAGTATATTGAAACACATCACTCCAACACCGTTAACCGAATATACATCATTACTAAAGATGAAAGAAGTGTTTAATGCATTAAATCTAAAACTGGTAAAGCACTGTGAATAGTCAACAAAGACAAAGAATCATGAGGAAACAATGAAAATTGAGCATGTTTGAAGGAAATTGTCCTGAAACTAGTCATGGAAAAGTGATATTACATAATAAAAGATTCTATATATAGCTTCACTTACATCATCCCACGTAAAAGGTATCACAGGTCTGGATAAGTGAAATATATCTGATACAACTCTACCAATAATATTCGGTAAAGCATTCGCCATGCTTCTGCCTATATTGAGAAGTTTCATACCACGATTGAATACAAAGTTGAAGGGAAAAGCTTCAAAAAAGACAATAGCTGGAACTGGAAGTTCTTCTTCTACATTTGAAAATGACAGATTTTGAAAGTGTAATCGTAGAATTGTCTCAACCTGCTGACCACGGTCTTTGTGTCCAACAATCTATACAAAAAACAAGACAAAATAATCACATCAAAACACAATAAGATGATTCAGATACGCTAGAATTTCCTGAATGTTGGATGAGTGTTGGGATCTAGAGAAACTTCAGGAACATAGTTTTGTATGTTCAGGTAATTATCATCTATATGAAGGCTGATCATGCATCTATAACATACCACACATTTGATTTTGAACTCGTATTGCATAACTTCACACTTAGTCAACAGTTTATAAGCAAATCGAGGCAATGTTAAGTTAAGTAAATAAACTGACTGCTACACAAATAATCTTTATTCACTGGTGGCGGATTAATGCGCTAAAATAGCGGAGAGCATACAAAAAACTAAACTCGCCCAGCCAGAAAACTCATTTCTGTAACTCTGTACCCTTCACATTTAAAAGAAATCTGATGAAATGCTTGGTTCATTATACAAACCTCATATGCTAAGATCGCACCACAGGAAAGGAGCTTGACATTATACATAGTCCGCTTATTAGATATAAATATCCTGCCAAATTCATGGCGAAGTGCACGCATTAGACAGAAGCTAAACCAAAAGTGTTTACAGCCTCTAAGAAACCTGCGTTTCTAAAAACTTGAATTTAAAAGTGACATGACAAGCGAGATTGTGATATAACGTTTGAGTGAGGCTTTCCAGAGAACAATAAGCTCAGTAAATTTATGTTTGATCTTCTACAGTCGGCAAATCTTAGCTGCCGGGTATAAAGATGGACTTCTAGATACTACCTATTCCATGTGCATTTATCAGTTCAGCCGCTAGTTACAGAGGGCGTATGATATCACAACATCATCCAACCTGGCTGAGTGAAGAATACATAAAGACAATACAAAGCTCATTGTTTGCACATTTGTTAGATGCCGCCCATAAAGTGACTGTAAGCAAGATTTCTACAGTTACCGTATGCCACTAACTACAAACACTAGGAGCCGTCCCTATACACCTGTTGGAACTAATCATTTTATTAAGAAGAAATTTGAACAACCCGTATCATAACTTTGGTCATCACAGTAAACTAAAGTCTAACTTCAATTTATTTCATTTTTTTACCTAATGGAATATAATTTGTTAACAAGGCCCTTGTTTCATATCCAAATCAAATCCTCTGTCTTCTCATTTTTCTGCCTCCTTATTGTTACTTAATTCCGTTAACGTGTATCCGCTTAAGTCCTCTTGTTTTCATGTTAACTGTTATGCAGTCAGTAAAATAAAAACCTGTTTTACTTTATTTTTACTCTTAGCAATTTTAAGTAGTTACCCCATTCACCAGTTTCAATTTTTTTTCTAATTATAAGCTTCATCAGAAAATTTAGATTTGTCATTCTTTTAGTTAGTTAGACCGTCATTACCAAATAATATTGTCATTAAATGTAACATTTAAATATTAGCATAAAGTTGATGAAGATGGCCTAACTGAAAAGAAATATGCCATCACGAAAACCATCTTTTATTTTTAATATCTAAATAGGAATTTTCAATGTGCCAAATTCTATGTACCAAAAAGCTCCCGATACAACTTATATCCTACGACGTTTTGCGTAGGATATCACTTATCCCTAAAGTTATATATATGGAATCCAGTTAATAATTTTCGCAAACATTCCGCAGATCGATGAGAAATGAATTTTAGGAAGTCATAAGTCTAATATCAATATATTTTAAATTTTATTTGAATAATGATGCAAGCTATAAATATGATAATGGTGATCAATTACTTCATACTATAAACTATCATCTCTGCATATGGTGTAGTCATCAACTGTTCTGAGAACTATCCAGTCATGTTGATATCATTTGAATAGTCCTTGAGAATGACATTATAACAGCCACATTTTTCGCCTCACCTTGGGTCTACACAGCGATACATCCTAACATCTTCTCTCAGAGTTCATGTGAAGTTAGCCTCTGTATGACAACCGGGTGAAATACTACTTTATTTTCACTTGTCTCAGTGATATCAATAATGCAGTCAAGTAAAATAGATATATGCAACTATCTTGGTAACTGTCTGGTAAAAAAATGCTTCTTAATATTTAACATAAATTATTTACTTCTGATAATAAACCACAGCAGGTGAGTTCGAAAAATGTAATCTGACTCCTGATGAATCAGAAAAAATTAAAATACAGGCAGGTGTCGTCTGAACAATCAAGAAGAAACAAGCTTAGCTAAATGATAATCCCCAAAATATTTTAATGTTCGTACTTGTAAATAAATAATTCGAAACTGGAGATCATTAGTTTCCAGTTTCAAATCTAACAGGCTTCTCCCTGAATAATATTAGATATACCAGTTACTGTTGGTTTCTTCCAGTGGCTGCAAATTTTGAAAATTGTCAGTTCTGTCCTAACAGGAAGTTTCTTCAGGCTAAGAGTCAGACTAAAAAATAAAACAACTATCCATCAGATATCAGATTCTTTTATGACTTTTTCAAGCATTACTGCTCATAGTTTTGCTACAAGTCTTTCTATCATCCCAAGCCATGTTACTGCGAATACTCCTCTACCAACAGATTTGGTATATTCACATATGTCAACTTAAAAATCACCCAATGATAAACACACGTGGACAAACTTCTTAGTTAAACAAAAAAATGATCAACCTAAGGACTATATAGGTTTTGTTTGAAACCGCTGCCAAAGGAAACTCACGAAATTCTGAGAATCAACTTCTGTTCCACAAACAGTTAGTTGATAACATAATTCTAAAAACTGAGTGATAGTAAGGCTACATGAAGTAAACCTAAAAAGCTTGTTGAAGTTAATACATCTTGATTTTTCCAAATTTTGAATCATGACTAATTTGGTCATCCTATGTTGATATATGAGTTCCTGGATATATGAAACGAGATTATTTCTAATCACTAGATTCGATAACGTTCAGTAGTAGCTGATAGTGAAACTCATGAGGCAAGTTTCGTCCTTCTTGATATCCATAATTAGGTCAACACGTATTTTAGTGACTTATTAGGTAATTGAAAGTAATCATGCTAGCAAGATGTGATCAAGGGTACTATCTAGGCATCATTTGTCAAGAGAATTTAATCAACTCAGTCCTGTAAAAATTAACACCAGCAAAATTAAATCTACCTTAAAGCAAATTCAGCTGATGAGCAATAAATAGGAGGAAGCACTCATTCTGAACTCCACTTACAACCACAACTGAATGCAGTCAAACCCTAATGTAGGTTATAGATGAATTGCATAAACTTGATGTTGACCATATTTGACAGATACACAAATTTTACTATTTGAGAACTTCACAGCTTGTGTAACATGAGAATAAACTTCTAAGAACTTACTGAATACTAAAATTTCTAAAGAAACAAGGAAACGATATTCCTAGTTTACTTTAAGCACTATTTCAAAGCCTAACTGCTTTAAGTTGAGTGCAATTATAGACTAAATAATGACCAAACGGTTGCTGTTTGAACTGAAGAAGGATTAGGTTAGAAACATAGCTGTAGCAAGAACAAAACATGTCATCCATCCATGAAGTCGCCGACTGTTGGTCTGTGTCATTTAGGTCTATAAAGGTTTTCAAGTCAAGTTTCATGTGACAAATGATTTCGGTTGTCAGAAGTTATAGATGGTATGGCTTAAAATATACCACATTGTTGCAGATGTATCCACGACTTATCTTAACCTAGATGCCTTGTAACACTTTGTTATTTGCATAAAATCCCTCTTATCTTAATTTATGACTTCCTAGGGATTTTAGTCACATTATTTCTGTTAATTTGGTTTTCAAAATATCGCACTGTATCTTGGCATGTTGATGTAAGGTCCGGCAACTTAGAGTTACGCAGTAATTCCGGGTCTCATGTTGATACTGACTCTTAGAATATACCTGAAAAATGTAGGTAAAAAGGCTTTGTCATGAATCGGCTGCATCTGAGAGATTCGTGAAAACAAGCTGTTAACACGAAACTTCATCAAACCTTTCTAATGATCTTAAATCATGAACATCACTAAACTACACTTAAACTCTGACCGCTTAAAACCACTTTAGCTGTTTAAGTCTCATCTACTTGCTTAAGGGTGACAGATATATCTCCAGACTAGTTCCAGTTACAACCCCATGATAGGCATGAGTTTTGAAATAATACAAAGTATCATGATCCGGTAGAAAAACAGTGCCTATTCATTTCTCATCAGCTATATTCTTTCTAACTGACAACTTTTTGTTCAAATACTCTTCTGAATACTCCGAATAAACCGTCTAGTGGAACATTTTACAAAGTACCTTTTATTGCAGACTGATTTAAACAGGTATTTTATTCAAAAGCGCGTCTTTATCAAATGATTCAACATTCCATATCAATGTCACTCGATAATTCCTCCACTACACACTGAATTCTCTCTGATAAACGTGTGATCGCAAACAATCCAAGTTATTTACAAACAGGTCATAAATGCAAACATTTAGTTTCTCCAGTTACCATTTAGGGAAAGAGATAACTGGTAACCAGTCTTCTACCATTTCCAAACTACTAAGCAAAGATTAATCATGACACTAAGTATCCAACTTACAACTTCATTGTATAAATTGGTCGATCGATTTGAGTAGATATTTGACTGTACAGAATATTAATGACTGTTATTTGTAATCGATTCAGATACTTCCCATAACTTGCCGACTAGACATGAAAAAATCTTAGCCTTACAGGCTAGTCTCAGAGAGAAAGTGTTTAGAAAATTTCAGAATGAACGAATATAATGTCAGATTTAAAGGTTATCTACTCAGTCCACTAACCTAACGATCTATATCGCTAAAACAAGTCAAAAAACTAAAACTCAGCTGCTTTCCAGCGCTTTGATTAGGAATTTATGTTAGCCAGAAAGTCTCTCGGTTCAACGCTATATGATTATTGCGTGTTTTATTTCAAGGGGATTTCAGTCCATCCAGCTCTAAAATACGAGCAACGACTATTAGAACGATAAGTTTTGTAGAACTAGCAAAGGGTTTGCATGTTAGTAA